GGAGCCCGATGTGGGGCTCGATCCCAGGACCCTGGGGTCATGACCTGAGCCGAAGGCAGATGCTTAACCGACTGAGCCACCCAGGTGCCCCCACGGTTACCTATTATTATCGTGAAAATGAAGCTAGATATCAACTCCTCCAGGCAGCCTTCTCTGACCACCTCAGGCTGGGTTCAGTAACTGTTGTATGTGCATATTTGCACCCTAGTATTTGACACGTTGTATTCTAACTGTTTACTCACTAGAGTACAAGTTCCCCCAAGAACATGGACCCTGTCTTAGTAATCATCCTGCCTCCAGCTCCGCCTTACTACCTGACACCCATTATCCTAGCTCAGAACGAGGTGGGACAGAGGAGGGAACCACCCCCATGCCCTTTTCCTTCACATCAAACCCTCTCTGTCCACATGTCGTCTCTATTTTTGTCTCACTACTATTATCACTCAGGATGAATTGGAGTGTGGCCCAAGAGTCTGGCTTCTCCAACCCATCGGTCCTGCTTCTCAGTCCCCCATCCTCCCACCTACTCCGTAAGATAAGGGAACAAGTCAAACTCGGGGCACCAGGGGGCGCTCTCAGGCAAAGAAGAAACAGAGAAACCATCTAATCCTGAGTTCCAGTTGCATCCCATCATCTGCCATTGCTCAAGAGCCGGCCGTGGCTCCCGATTGCCTCCTCTATCTTAAGATCCAATTCCTCCCCTATGACCTAACTCCGCCTCATCTGCCCAAGCTGTCACATGCATGCACCCTCTACCCTGTTGAATTTCCAGTTAACCCTGTAGCACTCTTTATTGAGTACCAGCTGTTTGCATAAGGGTGGTGCTACAGGTGGAAGCAGTGGCTAAAGCTCTCCTCAAGGCACTCCAAACAAACATATAATGGAAACGAAAGCAGTGGGCTTGCTATGCAAATGTACTTGAGAGCCGCGTCATCGAGCCTCCCTTCCAGCCAGATGGCTCCTCAGAAACTGTTTATACAGAAATTCTGCAGTTGTTATCGTCAGTGCCTCTTTCTTCAGCCTCATCCCTCTCTCTTTGCTCCTGCCACTTGCCCTGCCTGGAATGCTCGAGCCTCACTGCTCCCTCTCGAAACCCGCCTTTTCACGAGCGCCTCCACACTTGCAGAAAGACTTTCCTAGCTAGTGCAGGCAGAGGTCCACATGGATGCTCTCTTCGCTGAATCCCTGTTGCACTTCCTGTTTATACGACAGAATTCAGTGCTCCTTCATCCGCTACTTTCATTTCCGTTATATGTTTACTTAATTCAGCTGTAAATTGTTACAGGTATAGTGCAGTGGGGTTAGAGCAATCTTGCTTCAAGATTTAGTTCCTTGAGGTGACCAAAAAGTTCTGGAACTGGACAGCGGTGATGGTTGCATATTGTGAATGTGCTAAGGCCACTGAATTGCACACTTAAAATGGTGAAGAGGGTGCATTTTATGGTATGTGTATTTTACCACAGCAAACAAATATATATAGGGGGCGCCTGGGTGGCTCAGTCTGTTGGGCGACCAACTTCTGATTTTGGCTCAGGTTATGATCTCAGGGTTGTGAGATCGAGCCCCGCTTTGGGCTCCACGCTCAGAGCAGAGTCTGCTTAAGATTCTCTCTCTCTCTCTCTCTCCCTCTGCTCCTCCCCCCACCAATAAATAAATCAATAAGTAATTTTTTTTTTAAAAAGGGAAAAATATATCGTTCCATCTCTCACAGGCTGTGTGACTTTAGACCATGTCACTCTTTGTTCTTTAGTTTCCTCATTTTGGGGGGCAAAGATCAAGATAAATATTGGTGATGAAAATGATCCCGATGTAAAAAAAAAAAAAAAAAAAGACCCTGATGTGAGAGGTCCAAGTTGTAAAGCACTGTACAAATACCAGATCTGTCCCCTCTGAACAGTCACTGGTTCAGTCACTTGCCCAAGATTAGGTGACGAAGTGGCAGGGCTGTCTCGAGGCCACCAATCCAGTAATGGAGTTTACAGTCAGCTGTTTGAGACCAGAGTTGAACATGCGCTGTCCAGTGTGCCGGGGATGCCAAGGGAAGGTGCCAGGGGGGAGCACAGCCTCAGTCTTACCTAGTCTGGGGCTTTCCCCCGACTCCAAATTCTGGGTTCTCTCTCGCCACTGGAAGCCCCAGCCACAGGGGTGTGGCACAGGGAGGTGGGTAGCAGGCCCCAGGCTTGCCTCCCCTCTTTCTTTCCTCCTCTCTCCCTGCCTCTAAGGTGAGCTGTGGCAACTACAGTGGGGACCACAGGCCCCCTCGTCCAGGGCTCCACCTGGGCGGCGCAGAGCTCTGTGTGGAAGGGGAAACAAGGCAGAAGTGGCCTTCAGGGAGGAGAGGGCCAGGAGCCCCTAGGTGGTGAGCCTGGATTGCCCTTAGGCTTCTCTGAGGGGGACTAGCTGGCCTTGCCTCAGGGACGACTCCAAGTCAGATTTAAACAGCTCTCTGGGGACATTCTGGGTGGTGGTATTTTGGGGAGCGGATGTGAACTTCCCTGAGGGGGAGTGGTGTAGGATCCGGCATCCTGCTACCGGGCCCTCTCCCCAACCCCACCAACATGCTCCCTTCTCCAAATTTAGGGTGGGGGGAGGAAGCGGCAGGGCCCTCAGAAGCCAGAGAACTGAGATCCGGAGGGGGGGTGGGGTGCAGGAGGCTCCATTCAAGCAGCTAACAGGAGCGGGTCCTGAAGAGCTAGAGGGAGACCCAGAAGCCCCCACTCCTGTCCCCAGGCTGACATCCTGGCTGGAGGGTCCCACTCTTTCCTTGATCAGAGATCGCTGGGCGCCCAGGAGGCGGTCCCCAGGGACTCCCCGTGCAGCCGCGGCTCAATCCCCAACATCCCCCCCCCATTCTCCCTCCCTCTCCTGCTTTCCAGAAGGGGGACCAGTGGACTGAATCCCAGCTGCCGGCCGCGCTGGGAAAGGCCTGGAGACCGATTCCCGGCTTCCGGAGAGCCCCAGGGCCCCCGCCGAGCCCCTCCCCAGCCCGCGGCGGCCGCCTGAGCATTTAAGGTAATGTTTGGGTTGGTGCGAGCGGCGCCGGATGCCCCGCCTCCCGCAGCCCCCGCTGGGCGAGACCCCGCGAGCTGGGCTCCTGGGACTCCTGGCGGGATCCCCCCACCCCGGGGCTGAGGCCTGGGTGCTGGAGGGCTGCCAACGTGGAGAGGCCCCTGGGGTCGGAGGGGACAAGAAGGACAGTCCCCATTCTGAGGCCTTAGCAGGGTTGGGAACTAGGATGGGAGGGCGGCCCCCCTCCCTCTGGCTTAAGGGTCCCTAGTCCCCAGGAAGAGTCCCTACACATCCACATCCTCTTTCTCCTTCTCTCCCCCCAACTCCCGAGCAGAGAAGGGGCTGAGAAGAGAGGCCACTAGCTCCCAGGGGAGTCACTGGAATGCTGGGAGCCTGGGAACAGGCCCTGCAGTTCCTGGGAAAGCCAGGCTGTGGGAATCCCACCCGCAGCCCCCTCCCCAGGATGGACCACCGGATGCCAGAGACCCCAGCTCCCCCATAGGGGGCTTTGTGACAGTGGAACCCCCCCTGGCTGGACCCCAGAGTTCAGTAGGCCAGCTGTGACGAGGAGTCCCCTCCCCCGCCCTCAGCCGGCCGGCCTACTCCAACATAATTCTCGCCATTGTGCCACTCACCCCTTCCCCGCCCCCCTTCTCTGGACCTCTGTACAATGGGGCCTTTGCCGCCTCCAGTACTCAGGGTGGAGATGAACTCACTCAAGTTTTTTCCAAGTTTAAAAATAGCCCCGCCCATCCTCCACCCCCAAGTCACCCTCCTCCTCTTCCCGGTGTTTCTGGGGCGCACCTCAGTCCAGGCTGCACCTCCTTCCTCCTGCCCTGGGTCAGGTGCAAAGGGCATGGGTGAGACAGCGTCCGGCCAGGCTAGGGGCTGCTTCCCCCCATTCAATCTCTTCCCCCACATCTTCCAACCCAGCCCCCCAGTATCCGGTTTCCTGCCCTGATGATGTCCTCGGCAACAATTGCCCCCCACCCTCCTCCCACCCTGTTTTCCACTCCCTCAGCACAGCCTCCTCCCAAGTCAGACCCCCATTCTGAAAAGCTTCTCTCCCCTCCCCTCCAAAGACCCAAACTGGTCTCTATTTTCTGGCCAGGCCAGGGGGTTCCCCAGCCTCCATAATTGCCAAGTTTGCTGGGCCACCCCCCTCCACCCCCTGTTCCTTCCTCATTGCAGCTGCAATGTCTTTATTAGCTTCCTTCCTCCGCCCAGCCCGCCTTTCTCATATCTTCCTCCTGGTCAAGCCCCTGGGCCAGAGGGGTGGGTGGGAGGCCACTGTGCCTGCCATGCTGGAGCTGAGAGAGGACTCGAGGGAGGACTCCTAGGTTAGAACCCGGCCCCAGTGGCCCCTGGGGGCAGGCCCGTCCTTGTCTTTTTACCTCCCACTCCGCTGTGGCTGGGGCCCTGCTCTTCCCACTTTTCCTTACACCCAGATGAAAGCCCCACCACCCTGAAGACCAGACCATGGCCACCACCCCACCCAGCCTCAGTTTCTCTGCCTGTGGTCAGACCTATGCCAGAGAGACTACACAGAGGACATTCCACACAGCGGTCCCCTCCTCTCTGTGTACCCTGGGTCTACCATGGGGGTGGAGGAAAGCAGCCTTCCTATCCCTTCCTTCTGGAGAGAAACAGACAAATTAGGACTCTGGTCCTGGGCCTCTTCTTGTCTTGGCCTACATCCGGGCAGCACTGCTTCCAACCCAGCCCGGGTGCCAGAGTCTCTGCTGGTGCAAGACCCATCGCTGCCCCCTTGGTCCCCCCTTCAGCTGGGTGGCAGTCCTCTTGTTGAAAGTTCTTCCTCTGCTTCCTTTCTCTTCCCTACTACTGCTGCAGCTCTACCTTCTGGCATCTTCAAGGAGCCAGAGCGCTGTTACTCTCCACCACCTTGTGTTCCCTCTACCCGGTTCTCCTGCCTTCACTGCCCTTTCTTCCTGTTTCCAGACCCCTCTGAATCCTCTCCAAAGTCCTGATCTCTCTTTGGTTTGGAGTCCCAAAGTTGCCTGCCCCCTGACCTCTACTGCCCACTCCCTGGCAGCCCCGATCTTGCCCCAAGCTGCCGGCTTCCTTAAAGGACAGTCCTTGTGCTTGTTTGGTGGAGTCGGGCAGGGAAAGGATGTCACCCTGGGCTCCAACCTCATTTCCCCTTCACCGCAGAGACAGCTCCTCCACCCCCACCTGGCTTCCCTTGGCACAAGACAAATTCCGAACTGACTGTCCTTGGTGGTTAGCTGGCTTTGTTTTCAGGCGAAGAGGAGAATGATTAGTTAATGGTGTTAAGTGAAGGGAAGGGAGTGGGGGCAGGGAAGCCGAGCTCCATGCCCAGCTCTGGCTTGCCAGGGCAAACAACATCCTTCAGCCATTCCCACTCCTGCCCCTGTAGACAAACTCATCCATTCCACTCTGGGCCCTGGGCCAGTCCATACGTTCACTCTGGGGGTTGCGGAGCCACGGTCCTCTTCCCCCCCAACCCAGGCTCCGGGCTCCAGGCCCCTGCCCTGGCCGGCTTGGCATTGCCTCTGGCTGAAGACTGATGGAGAGAGAGGAGGGGTCACCAAGGTTCCGAAAAAACGAGGCTGATGTAGTTTGCCAGTCATCTCTGCGTCATCAAAATACCACCCCGGAGCCTTCTCTCAAGTCACCTGCCCATCTGCGGCGTTTGCTGCCTCACGCGGCTCCTCCCCCACCCTGCAGAAAGGCTGCCCTGCCAGGGACAGGCCTCCACCCCCAACCCAGACCTCTATTTGACCCTCCCGCTGAAGGAGCCGCAGCAGATGTGATGCTGGGGTCTCTAAGAGGCAAGAGCCCTTCCCACTCCCCAGAGCCTTCCTTCAAGAGGCCAGAAGACCCAGGTTTGGGAAGAGGGGGAGCTTGCTGTGTGGAGGGCTGCCTGCAACCAGATCTGATGCCCCCTCCATGCTTCTCCTCCCCCCAGGTGCTGAGCCACAGTCAACAGTGGGGGTGGAGGGCCGGGGGTGTGCGGGAGCCTGCCTGCAGGGGGTTCTTTTCAACCATCAGGACAGCAACGGGTTTTCAGGGGCCAACCTGGAGACCTCGCACCCATTTACCCTTCCTTTCGCCTCTTTTCTTCATTCAGGTGAGGGGAAACTGAGTCCCAGCTAGGCTCATGGAATGAAGAGGGCACAAACAGAATTTTCAAGGTCTGGACGTGCACAAGTGTGAAAACCTTGGGCCTCTGAATTCAGCCCCCTCCCTTTCCCGCTAGTCGGGCCTTGCGGGATCCCGCTTGGGTTTGAAGGGGCAGTCCATAAGGCGCCATCTCCACTCCCCGGGACGGGTACCTCTGGGTCTGTGGCACCGGGCCCAGGGTTCTTCCCTCAAAGCTGCCGGCTCTGCGAGGCGGGGGGTGTGCGAGGCTCGGGGGCAGTGCCGGGCCGGCCGCAGCCGCAGTGGTGCAATCGTTCTGGGAAGCGACCGTGGCCGGCCAGGGTCTCTGTGGCAGGGGTCGGGCGGGGCGGAGGAGGCGGAGGCGGGAAGAGGAGCCTGCACGGGAGGCCCCGGTCTGAGGCTCCTCCGCCCCGCGGTCCGCCAGGGCCGCACCGGCTGCTAGGGGCTGCGCGGGGGCGAGCGCGGCTGGTTCTGACCCGGCCTGACTCTGGGCATCCGGGCCAGCCTCTCTCTCTCTCCTCGCCGCCGCCTCGGCCAGCCAGCCCGGCCTCCAGACACCTGTCACTG